CACACCCCATCCCATTTACACCAACCTCCATCGCAGAACCATTGAAGAATCCCTTTGCCGTTGCCTGCATCGCAGAACATCGAAGAACTCATCCCTTGCCATCGCAGATCTTTGCTCACCATCGAAGAAGCCCTTTGCCATCGCCTCCAGCAAACCTGAACCATCTCTGAAACAGAACCATCACACCCATCTCCATCTCTGCAAACCCAAAAGCCATTGAAGGTCAAGTTCTCACAAATCCTTATTCAAGGTTTGATTTCAAATTTGATTTATATATTTACGTTTCTAAGTGTTGATTAAGCCTACATTTGATTTCACTTTTGAAAAGCCAAAGTCTTATACTGATTTTGATTTTGATTTCAAGGTTCTGGGTAGTTCGAACCTGGTTTTACGAAATTGGATTCTAGTTTCGGTGGATTGCCACCGAAATTATTACATTGCTTCAGTGGTAGTCCACCGAATTGAACATGTACTTTCGGTGGGTTACCACCGAAATTGTTACCTTATTTCGGTGGTAGTACACCGAATCTGTTTCTATTTTTCAGGGGACTCCCACCGAATTTCTTTCGATTTTTCAGTGGTACTCCACCGAATATGTATTCTTTTTTCACTCATTGTCCACCGAATTTATTTCCATTTTTCAGTGATTATGTACCGAATACGTTACTGAGTGTGTACTTAATATTGTTTATTTTTAGATATGAAGAGGATTCGCAGGGGTACTACTGAAGTTTCATCATCCTGACCTAACCTAATAGACAACGTCCCACGGCCTCAGCGAGGAGACAGAGAACGGCTCCCCAAGATCACATTGAGGATACTACAGAGGTTGAAGATGTAGTTCCTACTGATTATAGTAATGTTGACGCAGAGGTTGAAGATGTAGCTGCTACTCAGGATAGTATTGTTGAGGTACATGCCGAGCCTATTGAGCCATCTCGAGTAGGTCCCATTGATCCATCTTTACTTACGAGTTTTAAAACTCACATAGCAGCTACAATTTGGAATAACCAGGTAAGTCGTTTTACTGTGACAATAGAAGGTAGAATATAAGTCTGGTTCATGGTTATTAACCTTAATATTTTTTTTTTGTTTAACTAGGAACATGAGCCCCTTAGGTGCATGTTGAAGACATCTACCCTTCGTGAGTAGAATTGGTGGGGTAATCCAAATAATGGTATATTCAAAGTGTACATTCAGAGGCCTGGATTAGAGCAACTTATTAGGTGTTCTTACTTGGATATACACATTGCATATAAAATTAACCAATGTTTCGTAAACAAATAAATTCATATATGGACATAGTGATCATCATCAACAAAACCAATGGCAATCTCACGTAGCTTGGTTTCACTTGATTGAACTGAGAAAGGAAGAAATGTAAGGCATTGACGCATGCTTAGAAAGATTAAAACCATATTATAACATGTGGCAATAATATGACCCATATCAGGCATGGTCATCCAATAAAAGAATGGTGCAAATCCATCACCAAAATAATTTAGTGCTTGTTCAATCTTGTTGTACCGTTTATGTTCCCGAATACACTTCTTAAAAACATAAGACATATCATATAGTTGTTGCAACAAATCCTTGCGTACCCTACGCCATTCATTATGACCAAATCCCATTGCTATAGCTATGGTTCTATATCCACACTTACCACCGAAAGAAATTCGGTGGGAGTCCCCTGAAAAATAGAAACAGATTCGGTGGACTACCA